CAAACATGCTTGGTTATCCAGCAGGGTCTGCCCACACTCTTTCTTAAGGAACCTCTCCTCCTCTCCCCTCCACCTCACTCACCACGCCTGCCCACTGTCCTCACCCAAGGCTTCAGATCCCCTCCCTGCTCTTGGCCCCTGGTGGTCTTCTCTATCCTGGAATCACCTCCTTAAGGGCTGAAAGGGCCTCTGAATGATACTGCGCACCCAGCGTCCTCTCTTCTCTAGATAACTCTGCCTGTGCCCAGCTCTAGTGGGGGCTGCGGGAGCTGGCTGTGCCTGGGGTCACTCGCAACGCCCCTCCTGGCCAGGGCTGACTGGCTCAGGGGCGGGCACACAACCCACGTTGACTCAGTTAAGAGTCGTTTCCAGGAACTGAGGGAAGAAGATCGACCCATTTCTGATGGTGAGGGCTGGAGGCAGTGAGAGGGCTGCATTCCTCATTCCTGGGCAGAAGAAGCCAGAGAAGAGAATGAGATGGACGTGCTGAAAGACGGACGTCATGGGGGAGCCTGGTTCGGGCTGACCCTGAGGCCCCTTGGACATTCGGCTGGTCACCTCCTCCTCGGATTCTGGGAGATTCTCTGGTTACCTTCCAGTCGGTTAGCCTATGTGCCTGTGCTCATGTGTGTTGGGTTTCTGTGACTTACAATCAAGAGAGCCCTGACTCATTCTGGTCTCTTGCTTCTTGATCCCGTAGAACCCTGTTCCTCTTACTCAGTTCCCTCTTCCAAGAATCTCTAAAATTACTGAAATTAATTTGTACACACTTTAAAAACCTTGGTGCTGAAGACTGACTGGGAATACGATTTGCAGTTGATGAAGCAGGGAGGTTCACAAACAGAACAGAACCTTGTTGCCTTGTCAGTCAGTGTGGAAGTCATTTGGGATATTCACAGCCATTCTGGTTCCTCTCCTTCTGGCCGCAGGGTAGGACTGCATTTCCCAGCTCCCTTGAGGTTGGGTCTGGCCACATGATATACTTCAGCCAGGGAAACGTGAGCAGAAAACTCACGTGTCCCTTCTGAGCAGCGGCTTCAAGAGCCAGGGCCTGATTCACTAGATCCCCAGCCCTGTGTTGAGGACAAGTCTGCTCAGCTGGGTTCCTGAGTGACTTTGATAAACAGAACGTCCGCCCCTCCCCACATTGGACATACAGTATGAATGAAGACATTTACTTGTGTTACGTCATCTTTACTGCGGGGGTGTCTGATACTACAGTGTACCCTCGCCTGTCCTGACTAATGGAGTCTGGGGCATCATCCACTGTAATTTCATGATTTCTTCAAGAAGACTGTTTTGCCTATATTCCAGAGCTTTTTCACAATAAACAATTACCTGTGTATTTCAGGCAACTTCGTATTAAATTGCAAACTTTAAGGACAGGAATAGATATCTTTCCTGTGGCCCCATGCCACCAGGAGTCAGGCCATGTTTATAGTAGGTACTTCAAAATTGCTGGCTGAGGAAACTGAAGTGAAGATGTGAAGAAAGAAGGGGTGAAGGCCCTGCATACCCTGACCCCCATGAACCCCTGTTAGACCCCATCCTGAGAAGTCAGACCCTGTATGATCACCAGCACATGTCCCGAGTCTTTGTCTGAAATGCCCTCCACTCATTCAGCCTCTCCAAACCCTCTCTATCCTTCAGGACCTAGGTTCAGGCCAGCTTCTTGGCCAGGTTTCCCAGGCCCCCTGGCCCTGAAAGCCAGCCTCCTCTCAGGCCACAGTCTGTCCTGTGAGTCCCTGAGCAGGGCTGAGATGCCCCTGGAGTGGGGAAATCCTGCCTTTTCTGGCCAGGACTGCTTTCCCCCTTGAGCTGGGAGCACATGTGGCTGCCGCCTCCCAGCTTAAGGTCATCTGCACTCATTTCCTTCTCGAGAAGGGCACAAGCCTCAATGGCTCCCTCCTCAAGTCAGAAGACACCTAATTAGTGTAATCATTCCACAGCTGCCCTGTGGCCTCTGTGCCCTCCAGTCACCTCTTCCACAGCAGCAGAGTGATTTGTTTTCCAGTCATTTCCCTGCCTGTAACCCTTTCAGGGCTCCCATCGCCTGCAGGACAAGGTCCTTAACCTCAGCCTGGCACTCAGACCCTTCAGGCTTAGCCTCTGGGGCTCACCCATCTGCTCACTTGCTCACACACCAGGTTCCAGCCACATTCTACCTCTTGCAGTTCCCCCAAACAATCCACACAATCACATGATGTTGGCCTTTGCCCATATGGTTTTTTTTCATCCAGAATGTTCTTACCTTCTAATCCATCTGGCAAACTCCTATTCAACCTTTGAAACTCAACTTAAGAACAAGGGTTGGTAAATTTTTTTTTCTGTAAAGGTCCATATAGAAATAGTTCAGGCTTTGTGAGTCATACAGTTTCTGTCATGATGACTCAATTCTTCCATTGTAGAAAGCATAGATATATAGAAATAGATGATGCTGTGTTCCAGTAAAACTTTGTTTCCAGGGACAGGTGGCAGGTGGGATAGTTTGCTCACCCCTGCACAAGAATCATCTTACGAAGCTTCCTGCAGGACAGAGCTCAACAATGCCTTCTCGTGATGCCCTCTGTACCTTACACACTTTATCATAATACAAACCCCGATCGTGATGATTCTACAGTTGTGATGATTAAATGGGACAGTGGTCATACTGTTCGTTGTCTCTTGTCTGGGTTTCTGCAATAGCCTGCTCGCTGGTCTCCCAGCCTCTGCCTTGCCCTTATAGTCTATTCCTATAGAACAGACATGATCTGTTAAAAGGTAAGTCTGATCAGGTTACTCCTCTGCTCAAAAACTTTCCATGGCTCTCTATTTCCCTCAGAGTGAAAGCCAAAGTTTTAAAATGGTCTACAGGCCCTGATATCCCTTCGACCTTACTGCCTACCAAGCTCCCTCTCACTCCATTCCAGGTACAGTAGACTCCTTGCTTTTCCTGAAAAAAGCCAAGGAGACTCCTGTCTCAGGGCCTTTGCACTTGCTGTTCCCTCCATCTGGAACACTCTCTCAGGTTATCACAGGGCTCACTCTCTTGTCTCCCTCAGGTTTTTATTTAAATGTCTTCCTTCTCATCAGGCCTTCCCTAGTCATTCTTTAAAACTACAACACTCCCCTGTGTCCCCGCCCTACTTTTACCCCACAGCGTTTATCACCCTCTAACACACTATATTTTTTTCACAACTTTTCAATTCGAAAAATGTTCAAACACAGGAAATGTAAGGACAAGTACAAAGGCACTGATATTCACAACCGCCAATTCAACACGCAAAGTTTTTTGAAAGTAAGATGCTAACATCTCAACACTTCAACCAAAGACTTCAGCAAAACACACTCTATGGCTGACTTCTCTATCTTTCCCCACAAGGCTGTGAACACGGTGAGGACAAGGATTTTCGTCTGTTTTGTTTGCTGTGTTTTCCTCAGCACTAAGAACGTTGCCTGGCACACAGTGGGTCCTCCTATAATTTAGGGAAAGAAAAGCCAAGACAGGTCCTGATTCTGGCTCTGCCTCTCACTGACACGTGACTGTGAATCATTTCCCCTCAGAGAATCTTGGTTTCTCCGTCTATAAGGTGGAGACAATAGCACTACGTCTCAGCATTGATGTGAGGATCTAACAAGGTAAGAGTGTAAAATTGCTCGCTGACCATGCTGCTTAAATTTCCATCTACCTTCTTGAAGGAGGGGTCTTGACTCTTTGGGCTCTGGGATGCTTGTAACTCAGGGTCTAACATAGCCCCTCAAGAGAACGGCTTGAACGGCTCCAGTGCAGAATCCAGCAGAAGCCCAACAATATACTCCTGGGTGCTTACTCGTCCCCTCCTTTCTCAGTGCATCTCATTCGAACTCCTTATTCTTCATCGCTTGCTTTATCCACTCATTTAACAGTTTTCACCAGAAATACCTAGGGGAGGGGCACTCAACTTCATTAGGCCTTGAGAGTCTCTCTTTATTATTTTCTCCCTATTCTATTTTATTAATTTCGTCTATGGATCTTTGAGTGTTTCTAATGATCTATCCAGGCAATTGATCTGTCTCTCTTCCTTGGCCTTTTCTGCATTTCAGATTCAGGTGTGTGTCTGTGTTGCCAAACTTGCCTTGGAAACCCACCTTGAATATAAGAGAGGGTGTTTGCTGCAGAATGGGACTCATCCTGTTGAACCTTTGAGGTTTCTCAGGTCAGATTGCTCAGCAGTGGGTGGAATGCCTAACGTTTTGCAAGCTCCCTGATAACCATCACCTAATTTCAGTTGCTTGGGGTGTGGAGGGTATGTTTTATCATTGAGAATTCTGAGTCTACTTCCCATTCTCTCAACTCAAAGTTGAAACTCCTGAACAAAAATTTTATCTTAGTTTAAGGGAACAGTTTCTTCACCTGTAAAATGTGACCAAGACTAACTACAGATGACGGATGTGAAGTCAGCTTACTTTGTAACTGGCAAAGCTCTGTACAAATAACTGTTACTGTGGTTAGTTTTATTAACCTGTCCAGATTCTTGACTAAATCTTGCTCCAGTTGCACTGGCTGCCCTCAGTCTGGGTACTAATATCTTGGGACAGAGAGGCAGAAACATTCTTCTATTCACAGGAATAACAAACAGCAGCTACCCTTCCTACATGGACAGAGAGTAGTCTGGAGAATTTATCTAGATCTAGAGTTGGGGAATCATTAGGGGAAGAAAATTGGCTCAACGGAGCCTGGCAGGCTGGAGAGGGGCCATGATCTATTCAGTCAGAAGCAGATCTGTGACTAAAACCCAGTCTCTTCCCTTCTTTGTAACGCACCTCCTTCGCAGCATAACTAATCATAACAACTGTCACTTATTGAAATCCCACTATGTGCAGGGACGAGGACTAATTTAACTCTAGTCATTCTAACAATCCTGTGCCCACTTAGATGAGGAGTTCACAGAGACCAAGTCATTTGGGTAGATTTCTACTAAAAGTGCTAAGGTATTTCCCGAGATGGCTTGGGGTAGGGATGCCAGGTAACAGGAAATAATTTTTTAAGCATAACTATACTTAGTATATTCTGCTTATACTAAAATATTATCGGTCCTGTAGCTGAAATCCAAATTTAACCCGGCGTCCTCTATTTTTATTTGCTAAATCTGGCAACCCTAGCTTCGGGGGTACCCGTCAAAATCAAAGCTGGCTCCTGCTTGTTATGCCCTATATCTTTGTTGGTTTTATTTTTATCTTTACGAGCCATCATTAAAGTCAGGTTCAGACCTCAGGCCTGCGCCTCCTTTTTCAGGAGGCGAGGGGCTGTGGAAGGGTGAGTCTCTTGCCCCCAGTTAACATGTCTGCCTAGGAGCAGTCACGTGGGCCTTCCGCCCCGCACAGACTTGGCCCCGCCCCGCCGCAGGATTGGCTCCTGCCCAAAGCCCAGCCTCCTTCGGCGATGGGAGCCCCTTCCATTGGGCAGTTATAGAAGATGGCGGAGTCCCGCCCCCGCCTTCCTCAGGCGAAGCACAGGCTGCGGTGATTGGCGGAGAGCAGCGGCCGCGCCGTCACGTGGCCCGGGGCGCGTCTGTTTGCGGAAGTAGAGGGAAGTGGAAGTGCTGAGTAAGCCGAGGTGAGTGACGGCGCAGGGGAGGCGGGGCCTGGGGGCTCTTTCCCAAACCTCCTCGGCTCGCTTAACTCCGTGGGCTCCCCGTCCTTCAGGCCTCCCTCTTGTTCTCCGACTTTATTAACGTTTCTTTGACCCTTGTGCCGCCGACTTCCGCCCTTTGATCCCCTAGCACTCCAACTCCCATCCGGTGACCGCTCTAGTCTCATCTCTAACTTGAGTTCCCTCAGCGACCTTCAACCCCGGGTCCCTCCTCAGTACCCCTTTCTTCCCTGTGTGTCTCTCCTCTATCCCTCATTTCCTGAGTTAACCCCACCCCGTCGTCCCCCAGCTTTTTCAGTGCCTCTCAGTGGCCTGAGTTTTCACTCTCGGTCCCATTCATTGTCCCCAGCTTCCTTCCTGTGCTAAGTGTTCCTGGTTTTTCTGCCTCAGTGTGTTCCCACCCGATCCCCGACTTTACCCCTGCCTTCTGCGTTCCTCCGTCTGTCTCCCCTGTTCTCCATTTCACTGTTCCCCATTTCTAACTCCCTGCCTCTCACTGCTTATTGTCTCCCATGGGCCTTCAGATTTCATCTGTGCCTACTCCCCACCATGCTCCCTCCTTTCCCATAGCATGGTCACCCCAGAGCTGCACCATCCACCAGTCCTGTGTCCACCTCCTGCTCCCACTGATGACCTGAAAGCTAGTGATGGGAAGTATGTGACCCTTGTGACCATGTGACTGGGACCAGCAGGCCTGTGGTTGTGGGACAGGGAGGGCACTAGGCTCAAGGATCTGTGCCCATTTTTCAAATGGACTACTCATATGACCCCAAATAAATACCTTCCCTTCCCCTGAGCTTCTGGGTCTTTCCCTCACCTGCCCTCTTACCCGCCCAACAGGATGTCAGGCAGGTTTGGTTTGGCAACATGGATGCTCCACCCTTGGGCTGAATGCAGTGTTTTTGTTATTTTCTCTGCCTGAAGTTTTCCTGGAATTTGTAGGCTGTTTTCTGTCTGAGTCTCAGTTTCCTCATCTGTGACAGGGAGATTATATTTTCTGCCCTCCTAAGGCTGCCATGAAATTCAAAATTTGAGAAAATGTAGAAGGCAAAGCTTTGTAACCAGCATGGTCCTGGACAAATGCACAGCTTTGCTATTGTGTCATAGGCAGAAAAGGGAAAGGGATAGAATGAAAAATCAAGGAGGGAAAGACAAGTCTTTTATTTAGCATTTGGCAGATTTATTGACTGCTATGAGTCAGCCTCTTTTATATGTTACCATTTATTCATTTATTCCTCGTTTATTTAACAAATGTTAATGGACTGTTTACTGTGTTCTAGGTTACCCTCACAGCCAGTGCTCTTCCCATTTAACATAAGGAAGAGGGGGCAATTGAGTTGCCTTAGGTCACACAGTTAATGGGGCTGGGGCTGGAATCTGAACATAGTACTTTATAACACCAGTGCCTGTGTGATTGCTCAGCTGTGTAAGGGTCACTACTTGTCTCAGTGTCCAGGGCACTTTTTCTCCCTTCTGTGGGTTATTTTCTTGTTAGATGACAGCATCCTCAAAAGGGAGTTTCCTTCTGATTCAGCAGAATGACATCACCAAGAGATAGAGGAAGGAGGAATTTAAATCTGTGTGTGTCTGTACATATGTACTGGGTGTGTGGTAGGGGTGGGGGCTGTAGTGAAGGGGAGGCCTTGTGTCACGAGTTCCACTTTGTAGAGTGTGGCTCCTGGGAGAAAATCTTAATAGATCCATGCCTTACGTACCTCTTCTCTTTTTTAGTCCACCTTTTTTTGGGGATTCCATCAAGTGACATAACGTTAAGTACCATCTCTACTCTGACTCCAACTCTCAAATTTCTGTCTCCAGTCCTGTCCAGACATTTCCCCTGAATGATAGACACATCCATAGTTGCTCCCTCAATACCTCAAACTTAAGACATTTCAAACTTAAAAGTATTTGGAATTAAACTCCTGATACCCTTCATCCCTTCCCCTACCGTGAGCCAAAATCTGTCCCTCTCATTCACCTTCTCATCTTTCGGAAAGGTCAGTATTCTTCATTCAGTTGCTTAGGCTAAAGCTTTGAGATTTTCCTTGTTGCCTCTGTACACCCTGCATCCAGCCAGTGTGATCTGTTAATGTCAATCCTCTGCTCCACGCCCTGTAACGGCTTCTCTCATTGTACCTGCCTAGCCTCTGTTACTCTCTGACCTTACTGGCTTCCTTGCTGTTCTGGAACTCACAAGGCAGCCCCAGGGCCTTTGCGTATGCTCTTCCGTCTGCATGGAAAACTCTTCACCCACATACCCATATGACTTTTGCCCTTATTTCCTTGAAGTCTTTATTCAAGGCCAAGTTCTTGGGGAGGACTTTTTCACTCTGTCTAAAATTAAAAAAAAAAAATTTCCACCTGGATACTTCCTGTCTCCCTTTTCTGGTTTATTTTTCTCCTCAGCATCTAATCAGCATCTGAAACCTACGTATATATTTTGCCTGTTTATCTTCTTTATTATAGCCCTCTCCAAAATAGAAGTTCTGGGAGGGTAGGGACTTCATCTGTTTTGTTTACTAGTGTGTTCTCAGCAGTTGTAACAATGCTTGCCACAGAAGAGGTCCTCAATAAAAATTTGTGGAGTAAATCATAAGATGGGCCACCCTGGACCAGGCCATCAGCCCACAGATCTAAAGTCATCGGGGTCTCTCGTGCTTGGGAACTCCCGCAGCAGTTCTGGGCAGATTGCTTCCAGCCGTGGTCCAGCTAAGCAGAGTGAATGAAAGAGACCTCTTCTGTTCTGGAAAGGCCATTTTGCTCTGGCTTATGTGAATGGCCGTGCACTGTTCAATGAGGGCCTTGGGTTTGGCATACAGGGGACCACACATCAAGCCCCCCTCAGCCCCTCTTCAGTCAGGATCTCTCCTGAAGGCAGCTTGAGGATTACGAGCTGGTGCCCTGGGTTCAGATCCTGGCAAGTGTCTCCGTTTCCTGTGTGTAGCATGGGGAGAAGTATACCTTCTAAGTGGGTTCAGATCCTGGCAAATGTCTCCGTTTCCTGTGTGTAGCATGGGGAGAAGTATACCTTCTCTTCTGAGTGTTTTGAGGCATAAATAAACTACCTCGAAACTCGGTGAGGCACGTGGTGCTCAGCGGAAGCTGGGTGAATGGGGCAGTGTGGTGTGTGGGAGGGGGCAGGAGCCAGCCCTCCCCTCTTCCTGGGTGTCTTGCTGGCTTAGGGAAGAGTCCAGGGTCAGAGTGAACATTTGGAGGGACAGTTTGTTTGGAGGCAACCTTGGAGGCCCAGAGGCCCGGGTGGGAGGTGGAGATGCCATTTGACTTGGTCCCTGCTCTCCCTGAGTCTTTCCTTGTGCACTGACTGGGCACCTGCATCCTCTGTGCAGCCCTTCTGCCTAGTGCTGCCAGGAGGCCAGGGAAGAAGGCATGAGTGCAGCTGCCAGGCAGCACCTCCCACTTCCCCTTTCTGGGCCTCGTTGCTCCGCATGCCAGACAGGGTAACATCGCACTGTCGCTGTCTCATGGGCGTTTATGAGCTTCGAGGCAGCTAACAGACGTGAAAACCCTTTGCCAGCCATAGAGCAAGTGGTCTTGGGAGAGGATGTACGCGGGGCTGGTGTGCGGTTATGCGCTCGCGTGCTGGGAGGTGCAGATGGTGAGAGCTGCAGGAAGGAAGTCCACGGGGATCAGGGCAGGCGGGGTGCTCTGATCAGAGCCGGTGTTCCCGGCCCATCCTGCCAGGGCAGTGCATGGGGGGAGACATTGGCTGCACAGGAGGCTGTCCTTGCCAGTTGTTCCAATCACGGGACATCCTGTCATAAGCCTCCAGGGCTCATGAAGCCTGATTTCCAACTCAAGCAATGCTGCATGTGCTCCCAGAGTCCCCCATGTGGCCGGTCCCGTGAGGTCAGCTTCCTGGCCAAGCTGCCGGTGGGATCCTGTCACGCACCTCCTGGGCAGCCGCCCTGCCCTCTGTCAAGCAGGGAGCTTGATGTTTCCCTGCCTGGAGTACAAATGAGCTCAGCTTCAAGCACCCTGATGGCATATAAAGCCAAACTTTCTAGATCAAAGCCCAGCAGGCACCCCGTAAAGGTTCCCCTGATGCAGGGGTGAGCCCCTGAGCATTGCTGTTGTGGTCAGAGTGGGAAGGTGGCGTGTGGTCTGTCACCATCTGTCACCACCACAAGGCACGGGAATAAGAGGAGGGAGGGTGCCTCAAAGGTGCTGGCCCCCGGGGCTTCCAATTGGTTTGTTCATTTGTTCTCATTCATTCACCAAACATGTATTAAATATCCACTGTGAGGCAGGAACAGCATGCTAGGTGCTTGGATAGACCAAAAAAAGGGGGGACAGGCCACCCTAACTGGCGGATACAGCATCATCATCACAATGTCAGAGGTGGCAGGGACGGGAAGAAGGGGACAGACACGAGAAGGAAGCACAAACGTGCCGCTCTTTCTACTTCGCACTCGCCGCTTTCCCGGCCAGCCTGTTATGATCAGTCCAGGATGTGGCCCAGGGTTTCCATTTCCCTTCTTCCACCTCGTGATAGCAGTGGCCACTGTTTGTGTGCCCACCGTGGCTGGCGTCCCAGACACTTTCCCTCTATTGTGTCATTTCATCCTCACGCCCACCCTGGGAGGTTGGAGGAGAGTCAGACCTGTCCTTTCCAGGGCCAGGCTGCTGTCCACGTGGGGGGGGGCACTCCTGCCCCCTGCCCTGGGACCTGGAGGAAAGGGGCTCGCCTCTGGGGCGGAGCATCTTCCTTCTGTCCAGCTGGACCCCCACGGTGACTCTTCTCCTTAACCCTGGGGGACTGTGGGTGCTGGATGCTCCTGACTCCCCTCTTCTGTGAGCGCCTCTCCCGGTGCTGTCCCTGCCCTCTGGGAAGCCTCTGGGCAGCCAGGCCCGACCCCACCCATGCCCCCCCCACTCCCCAGATGCAAGCCCCAGCGGCTCACCCTACACTCCTACTTTCTTTTAAAAAATAGAATCATCTTTCATAGGGAAATTTCATAGGGAAATTTCCACAGGGAAATTTCATTAGGGAAATAAGGGAGAGAAAAAAACCTATTGCCCATAAACCAAATACTCTCATCTACTCTTAGTATTTTGATGTTTTCTATGCAGTCTTGCTCCAGAGCTCACTATGTGCTCAGGGCAACTGCCTCATATAGTTTATGAGAATTAAATGAGACGGAGGTAGTGAGGGTATATATAGCTCAGTGGTAGAGCACATGCTTAGCATGCACGAGGTCCTGGGTTCAATCCCCAGTACCTCCATTATAAACAAATGAACAAACAAACATACAAACCTAACCCCCCCCCAAAAGAATTAAATGAGACAGTCACATGCAGTGCTTAGCTCAGGGTCTACTGCCTACTAAGTGCTCAGTAAGCATCTCCTGACGTCATGGTTATTTTTGACCTGTCTTCCCTTTTTAGATGATTCTTTGTCGGCCTCCTGCTTTTCCTTTCATCCCTAAGTTTGATCCTCCCTCCACACATGGGCCTGGGTATGACTAGTGTCCACTTACATGGCCTCTTTCCCCAGGATGCCCACACCCCCATGCTCTGTCCTTGGTATCTGACCCGCTCTTTTGGCAGGTGACATCTTGGCACAAAGGCAGAGGGTGGCCTCCTGCTGATTGTCACCCGGCTTTGGTGGCACTGCCTTAGGAAGGTAGTGTGCTTTCTGGGAACCCAGGAAATAACAAGACATCTAATTCTGACACCCACACTGGTGACAATTTCCACAGCAGCAACTGTGACCCTATGAATGTGAAACAAAATTTCCACCCAGACACCTGCTACCAAGGCTTTATGTTCAGACTCATTTCCAAGGAGCTTGCTTTTGTGTTCTCTGAGTTTCTTGGGAAACCAGTGGTAGCAGACACGAAGGGTTTTAGACAAACATGTACAGTCCTCTGCCCTGGGTGGAGTGTAAGGTGCTCCTTGCCCCCTTGTGGCATCCAGGAGAGAGGGGACACTGGTTTTGTGTGTGGAGTTGAAATGACATGTGCCAAGCTCTTTGAGCACCAAGAAGTTGACTCCCTACTTTATGGAGTGAGGACCCCCGCCCGCCTGTTTGCACAGGGCAGCATTGCCCATCACCTGTGTTCACATCTGCTGTCTCCTTTGACCCGCCCCGTACTGCAGATGAGGAAACTGAGTCTCTGTTGGGGAAGCTGGGTTGGGGGCAGGGCAGCCCTGTAACTTCCCGTCTGCCTTTCTTCCCTCCCTCTCAGTGCCCTTTCTCTTTCTTCCCCTTCCTTTTCAGGTCCCTCCAGGCCCAGAATCCCAGGGAACAGCGCTGGTGGGGAGCCACCTGGGTGCCTGTGCAGGGAACCGCTGCCCGTGGTGAGGTGGGCATGGGAGACCGAGCCTGGCTGACCAGAGCCCCCATTTTCTTCCAGACTGAGGGCGAAGGCAGTGGGGCCTCCCCGCCGGCCCCAAGGAGGATGCAGTTCTTCGGCCGCCTGGTCGATACCCTCAGCAGCGTCACCAACTTGTTCTCCAACCCGTTCCGGGTGAAGGAGGTGGCCGTGGCGGACTACGTCTCGAGCGGCCGGGCCCGGGAGGAAGGGCAGCTGATTCTGTTCCAGAACACTCCCAACCGCACCTGGGACTGCATCCTGGTCAACCCCAGGAACCCCCAGAGTGGATTCCGGTGCGTGATGATCGGTTACCACACACACTTCTCTCCTTTGAATCCTCCCAGGTCTCAGCCTGGAGATCCCTTGGCCGAGAAGTAGCTTCTTTGGGTTGACATCTGAGGAGTCTGCAAGGGGTGGTGGGCGGGGTTCTGCTCTTAGAACGGAGGGAGGGGCTTCCTGGACGCCACACCTTCCTGCCCATCGAGGTCCTGACAGCAGGGGCTGGGGATGGAAGACTGTTTCCTGCCTTAAGGCTTGACCTGTGCAGATGGAGGAAGGGAGGGAAGATGGGGAAGCTGAGAAGGGTCAAATAGGGAAAGACCTTGTAGCCTTGGGTCTTTAAGGCATGACTGTCCTTGTAGGGGCTGGTTGGCCAAGGTTTGCTGAGGAGCCCCTGTAAGGGGTGGACAGCCTGGGGGTCCCACAACACCCCTGTAAGTGGAGAGGTGGACACCGGCCAATACAGACGGCAGCAGTGATGGTATCTATGTTGTATTAGTGTGCGTAAGGTGAGCTCTGCCAGGTTCTCCTCCCAAGCGTTATCTGGAATCTTCTTCTGGATCAAATATGCTTAGGTTCAGCTTGAGTGATAGCTCAACATAAAAGTTGTGAAACAGTAGAATTTTAGTTTCCTCCTAAGTGACAGCAAAGGCAGACAGGGCTGTTGTGGAGGCACCACTCCTTAAAGTCCTCAGGAACCCAGGCTCCTTCTGTCTTGTTGCTGACCTGACTGTTAATTCCCTTTATCCTCATGACAGTCCCTGGGGGTAGGGCTGTTACTGACCCCTTCTTACAGAGGCAGAAACACAGCTCAGAGAATTTAAGTAACTTGCCCAAGTTACAGCCATTCAGTAGCAGGGCTGGGGTTCAGACCCAGGCATTCGTGTTCCAGAAGCCTCCTCTTCCTTTCTCCACGTGGGCCGTTTTGCAATGTGGTGAGCTCACCTGGGCCCATCCTGGGCCCCCTGACCTGACATATGGTCCAGGTGCCCGGCTTATGTGGGGTGAGCCCGGGGTGGTCACTTGTAGCACCGCTGTGTACACTGTGATAACGTCCATGCTTCTCTTCCTGGTACAAATTAATCATTTACTGCTGACATTTACCTGTGACAGATGATATTTGATGAACCCCGCCAGTCCCTCACTGGTATCTCAGCAGAAGCAGGGCTGCACTTCCCAGCAATCCTGGGAGGAATGATCAAAGCGTGTGTGACGCGTGATCTTTGCTTCTCAAGAGGGGACTGACTTCTGAGGCCCTCTGTTCAGAGGCTTTGCCTGGACACACTCTGTGGTTTGCCCACTTGCCATTTATCTAGCCCACAACCCATCTTCACCAGTGGCAGGTCTCTGCCCTCCAGGGGCTTAGGCAGCAGCCAGCAATGGTGGATCAGGACTTGGCATGCGGTGGGGCAGATATTATAATGGGCTCATGTCAGATTCATATTCCCCGGACAGACCTCACCCCTTTACACTTTTCCTTTGCTGTTGGTTTTCCTAAGAATGCTCTTCCCGCTCTCCTTGGCCGGGCTCTCTGTTCTCCCTAAGCCCCTGTACTTCTATCAGCCCCTCTTGCCTTGGATTGCCACGTGTCTGTGTGCACATGTGTCTCCCCCACCAGACCGCAGAGCTCTGGCAGGACAGGGCCTGGGTCTGAGTCATTTGTCCTACTGTCAGCGTAGTGCCTGGCACTCAGCGAGTGCACAGTCAATTTTTGTTGAATGAATGGATGACTCCATGACCACTGAATTGGGCGTGACAAGAGGGATGGAAAAGGCTTCTCTGGAGAGAGAGAGGGAACGGAGGGATGGAGAGGGAGCTGGAGAACCAGTGGTGAAGGGCTTGTGCTCGACTTTGAAACCAGAAAGTTAGAAACCCCTCTTGCCCAGTGGTTCTTGGCCATTTTTCGGTCTAGGGCCCCCTTAAGAGAATCAGGGGACCTTCTCATCCCCCAAAAGCACATCCACACATTTGTCTGCCACTTCCCGAGGTTCAAGCCCTCCTGAGGCTTATCCATAGGCCGCTCCCACCAAGGCAGAGGCTTCCCAGAGCTGATGCCAGGGCGCTCAGTTCTAGAAGACAGAGAACACACAGCCCCACGAGTCTTCTCGATGCTCGCCTTTTCTCTGACTCTTTCTTTCACTTCCTTGTTCTCACCCAGACCTGGCTTTGCCCTGAGGACACTGCTTCCCCTGCAGGCCTCTCCAGAATTTTCTCTCCCAGTCTTCCTCCCACTGGGCCTGGGGGTGGAAGAGGGTCCTCCTTGCCCCTCAGCCTTGAAGCTCACATCGTCCTGTGCTGCCATCCCGTGCTCTCTCCTGGCGGCAGGCTTCTCCCACGCCGGGGCCTCCCCTGCATCTCAAATACGTGAACCCCTGGCTAGGAACTCCCTGTCACCATCACTGCTCCTGTCTTGACTCTTGGTGACTATAAGATGCACAGGGGGCCCGTCCTTACACCCAGGACTCCTGTTACCTGACCTCTCCTGGTCCACGTGCTCACTGCCTGGACCTAGTCATCACCAGTAACTGCAACTCTTCTGTAAAGACAAATTTCAAGCACCCCACTTTCCGATCTTGCCTCCTGTCTTTCTAGCTCTTTCTCTCTGGTCCTCGGAATGCCAGGTTCCTCTACCCCTGCACATGGTGGACTGATCCTGTCACCTTTTCACAGTCCCCATCCCTTTCGTGGACTTGTCTTCTTACCCAGCTTAAACTCCATGGCCCATCAGTGTCACCATACACTGGCATACACCCTCCGCTTTCCTGTGGTCCTCTCTCCCCATCACAATTGCTTGGCAAAATCCCAACACTAGTTAATTCTGTTCTCCATGTTGACAGCTCACACTTTCAGATCACAGTGGGGATGGGCCGCAGGTGAGCCCGTTAGTTTGGCAGTCCTCCAGTTCTCAGGTTCGCCCCTCTCAGCTCTCCCGGGAGGCATGCCTGATCCTCTCTCCTCCCTGGCGAGCCCCCCTCCTCTGCATGCTCACTCTCAGCTGATGACCTGGCTTCTGCCTCACTGAGAATGCAGAAACCACCAGGGAACTACCAGGAGCTTCCTCCACCCTGTCTCCCCGCACCTGCACCTGCCTCCTGGGCCTTCCCTGCTGTCACCTGAGATCTGCCATCCATGCGTCTAGCTGAGGTCCTTCCTCCCTCAAGGTCATCATCCCCTCTCCACTTCAGGACATCATTTCAGCAATTCTTCCTCTCTCCTACTAAATTTCCTCCTCTTTACTGGATATTTTCCATCACTACAAATAACGCTTAAAAAAAATCTCTTTCCTAACTCCACTTTCCCCTTAGGCACTGTCTATTTTTAGACTGCCCCAATTCTTCTCCTCCTGTGCTTTCTCCTTATTTTTTAAATTTTTATTCTTTAGTTGAAGTATAGTTGATTTACAATATTAGTTTCAGGTGTGTAACATAGTGATGCAATATATTCATAGATTATAATCCATTTAAAGTTACTACAAAACAATGGCTATGTTTCCCCCTGCTGTATAATAGATCCTTGTTGCTTATCTATTTTATACACAGTGGTTTGTATCCCTTAGTCCCCTACCCCTATTTTACCCTTTCCTTCTTTACTTCCCCGCTAGTAACCACTAGTTTGTTCTCTGTATCTGTGAGTCTGTTTCTGTTTTGTTACATACATTTGTTGGTTTTATTTTTTAGATTCCACTATAAGGGATCATATCCAGCATTTGTCTTTCTCTATCTGACTTATTTCACTAAGCATAATACTCTCTAGGTCCATCCTCATTGTTGTGAATGGCAGAATTTCATTCTTTTTATGGCTGAATAATATTCCACTTGTACGTGCACGTGTGCGCGTGCGCGTCTGTGTGTGTGTGTGTGTACCACGTCTCTATCCATTCATCTCTTGATAGACACTTAGGTTGCTTCCATAACTTGGCTATTGTAAAGAGTTCTGCTGTGAACATTGGGGTGGATGTATCTTTTTGAATTAGTGTTTTCATTTTCTTTGGCTACATACCCTGGCATGATGGTTCCAGAGGTATTTGCCACAAACCATACCACCCTGGAAGCCCCTCTTTTGCCCCCTTTCCCCCTAAATGTAGCCATTAACATGACTTTTACGGTAATTGCGTTTGTGTCTGGCTCCTGTGACTGGCATTTGTCTGAGGTTTGTGTTTCGCACCCAGTCGTGTCAGTCATTTTCAGTGCAGTGGAATTCCACTGTATAACTATAGTGCAACTTCACGTATTCGTCCTAGCGTTGATGGACACTTGGGCTGTCTTTTTCTCTCTCGGTGCATACATGCCTGCATTTCTGTTGGGCATCTGTCCAGGAGTGGAGTTGCTGGGTCACAGCCGTATGTATCCTCAGCTTCCTTGGAAGAAGCCCTGGTTTCCGACGAGCAGCAAGTGAGGTTTCTTGTTACTTCACATCCTCTGATACTTGGTGTTGCCAGTTTGAAAAAAAATGTTGTCGTTCTTTTGGGTGTGTTGTGGTGTGTCATTGTGGCTTTAATTTGCATTTGCCTCATGATGTGAAGTCGAACACCTTTTGCTAAGTGGATTACCCATTGGTCAGTCCTCTTTGGTGAATTACCTGCTTAATGTCTTGAACATTTAAAGAAATAAAGTTCATTTCCTTACAGAGTTTTGGCAGGGGTATTTGGCTTGTCTGTATCCTGAACACACACCTTTGTTGGTTATGTGTGTTGTGGTCGCTGCTCACTGGTTTGCCTTTTACTTTTGTAATGGCATCTATTGACAAATAAGAGTGTTTAGTCTTAAGGAAGCCAGATTTACTCAACTTCTCCTTTATGGTGTGTTTTTGTGTATTGTTTAAGAAAGTCTTTCTCTATCATGAAGTCATGAGGGTATTTTTCTATATTGCCTTCTAGAAGCTTTCTTGTTTTGCCTTTTGTAACTAGGTTGATAATCTACCTGGAGTGTTTTTTTAAATGTGTGCTGTGGGAGAGGACTCAAGTTTCTTGTTCTTGTTTTTCTGCTGGAGATCCAGCTTTCCCAGGCCCTTTTAT